AGGATAACTCAGGAGATATTATTAGAGATGTTGGAAATCATGAGGGTAAGAAAGCTAGCATAAAGGCACTTTACCTGAATGCTCGTAGCATTCGTAACAAGGTTGATGAGTTAACGGCACAAATCATCGCGAATGAATATGATTTGGTAGCCATTACGGAGACATGGTTACAGGATGGTCACGACTGGGAGTTAAATATCCAAGGGTACCAGACTATTCGGAAGGACAGACAGGAAGGTAAGGGAGGTGGTGTAGCCCTGATATTCAAGTATGCCATCAGGGCGGTGCTGAGAGATGATATAGGTTCTATGGAGAATGAGGTTGAATCCATTTGGGTGGAAATTAGAAATTCTAAGAGGAAAAAGTCACTGATAGGCGTAGTCTATAGGCCACCAAATAATAACGTCACATTGGGGCAGGCAATAAACAAAGAAATAACTAATGCCTGTAAAAATGGTACGGCAATTATCATGGGGGATTTTAACCTACATGTAGATTGGTCGAACCAGCTCGGTCAGGGTAGCCTTGAGGAGGAGTTCATTGAGTGTATCCGTGATAGTTTTGTTGAACAGTATATAATGGAACCAACGCGGGAGCAAGCTATCCTAGACCTGGTCCTGTGTAATGAGACAGGAATAATTAATGACCTCATAGTTAGGGATCCTCTTGGAAGGAGTGATCACAGTATGGTTGAATTTAGAATACAGATGGAGAGCGTGAAGATAAAATCCAATACAAGGGTCCTGTGCTTGAACAAGGGGAACTACAATAGAATGAGGGAGGACTTGGCTAAAGTAAACTGGATACAAAGATTTTATGGTGGGACAGTTGACGAGCAGTGGAGGACTTTCAAAGCAATCTTTCAAAGTGCTCAGCAAAAGTATATTCCAATGAAAAGGAAGGACTGTAAGAAAAGGGGTAATCTGCCATGGGTGTCTAAAGAAATAAGGGAGGCTATCAAATTGAAAGAGAAGGCATACAAAGTGGCCAAAAACAGCATGAAACTAGAAGATTGGAAAAACTTTAAAGGTCAACAGAAAGCCACAAAAAGAGCTATAAGGAAAAGTAAGATAGAACATGAGAAAAACTAGCACAGAATATAAAGACAGATAGGAAAAGTTTCTATAAATATATAAAACGAAAAAGAGTGGCTAAAGTAAACGTTGGCCCTTTAGAGCATGAGAAGGGGAATTTAGCTATGGGATATGATGAAATGGCCGAGGCATTGAACAGGTATTTTGTATCGGTCTTCACAGTGGAGGACACTAATAACATGCCAGTAATAGACAAAGAGACGAAGGTAGGTGAGGACCTGGAAACAATCATAATTACGGAAGAGGTAGTGTTGGGCAAGCTAATGGAGCTAAGGATTGATAAGTCTCCTGGCCCTGATGGAATGTATCCCAGGGTACTAAAAGAGATGGCGGGCGAAATAGCAGGTGCACTGGCAGTAATTTTCCAGAATTCGCTGGACTCTGGGGCAGTCCCAGCAGATTGGAAAACAGCAAATGTGACGCCACTGTTTAAAAAGGGAAGTAGACAAAAGATGGGGAATTATAGACCAGTTAGCTTAACCTCTGTAGTGGGGAAGATGCTTGAGTCTATTAGCAAGGAAGAAATAGCAAGGCATCTTGATAGAAATTGTCCCGTTGGGCAGACGCAGCATGGGTTCATGAAGGGCAGGTCATGCTTGACAAATCTTTTGGAATCCTATGAAGACATTACAAGCAAGGTGGACAATGGGGACCCAGTGGATGTGGTATACCTGATCTTCCAAAAGGCCTTTGACAAGGTGCCGCACAAGAGGCTACTACATAAGATAAGGATGCATGGCATTAAGGGTAAAGTATTAGCATGGATAGAGGATTGGTTGACTAACAGGAAGCAAAGAGTGGGGATAAATGAGTGCTATTCTAGCTGGCAGTCAGTGACTAGTGGTGTGCCTCAGGGATCGGTGTTGGGACCGCAATTATTTACAATTTATATAGATGACTTGGAGCTGGGGACCACGTGTAGGGTGTCAAAGTTTGCAGATGACACTAAGATGAGTGGCAAAGCAAAGTGTGCAGAGGACTGTGAAACTTTGCAGAGGAACATAGATACATTGAGTGAGTGGGCAAAGGTCTGGCAGATGGAATACAATGTAAATAAATGTGAAGTCATACATTTTGGTAGGAGTAATAGTAAAAAGGATTATTACTTGAATGGTAAAAAGTTGCAGCATGCTGCTATGCAGAGGGACCTGGGTGTCCTTGTGCATGAATCACAGAAGGTAGGTCTGCAGGTACAACAAGTAATTAGGAAGGCAAATGGAATTTTGTCCTTCATTGCTAAAGGGATTGAAATAAAAAGCAGAGAGGTTATGTTGCAGCTGTACAAGGTGCTGGTGAGGCCACACCTAGAGTACTGTGTGCAGTTTTGGTCTCCTTACTTGAGAAAGGATGTACTGGCACTGGAGGGGGTGCAAAGGAGGTTCACTAGGTTGATTCCGGAGTTGAGGGGGTTGGCTTATGAGGAGAGACTGAGTAGATTGGGATTATATTCATTGGAATTCAGAAGATTGAGGGGGGATCTTATAGAAACATATAAAATTATGAAGGGAATAGATAAGATAGAAGTAGAGAGGATGTTTCCACTAGCAGGTGAAGCTAGGACAGGAGGGCATAGCCTCAAGATTAGAGGGAGCAGATTTAGGACTGAACTGAGAAGGAATTTCTTCACCCAGAGGGTTGTTAATCTATGGAATTCCTTGCCCAGTGAAGTAGTTGACACTACTTCAGTAAACGCTTTTAAAAAAAAAGGTAGATTTTTTTTGAACAACAAAGGAATTAAGGGATACGGTGAGAATGTGGGTAAGTGGATCTGAGTCCACGAAAGGATCAGCCATGATCTTATTGAATGGCGGAGCAGGCTCGAAGGGCCAGACGGCCTACTCCAGCTCCTAGTTCTTGTGTTCTTGTGTGTTCTTAGCAATAGGTGTGGTTATGAGGCTGAAAGCTTAGTCTGGAGTCAAATATGACACCACGGTTGTAAACAGCTTGGTTTAACCTCAACCAATCGCCAGCAAGAGTGATAGTGTCAGTAGCCAGTGAAGTGAGACTGCACTAAGGAGCATAGACAATGGCTTTGGTCTTTCCAATATTTAACAGAGGAAATTTATGTTCACACAGTTTTGGAATTCCGACAAGGTGCAGAGTTATCTCAGTCCTGTTAAGGCTGGGGTCCCTGAAATTTAGAAAACAAAATGTATTTGGTCTGATTGTGCATTTCTCAAAGATGGGGCTGCAAAACCATGGAAAATTGTCATGGCAATTATTGTAATCATTGAGCATTTCTGGTGCAGACTGCAATTTTGCTGGCCTTACACAGGAGAGCCTTGCGTTGTCTACAGCTCGTCTTTTCACAATCTTGATGACAATGACATCCACAAGCTCCTCACACTTATTGCTGCAAGGATGGGGGAGAACAGGAGAGATGGGTTTAAGAAAAAGTTGCCACATTGAGAAGAAGTCAGGTGTTATCGTTGCATTCCAGGATGATTCTCGAAAAGTAATTAGCTTTGGCAGATGAGAGTAGGATCTGATACTATTTGACATTGTTTAGCTAAATCTAGCGGGGAATGGTCAAACCATTCCAATTCCAGTTAAGTCTGTGATCCTAAGAGAGCAGAGACAAGAGTAGTAACCAAGCAACAGCCCAAACAAAAGAGAATTCTGGTTTTAATGGGGACATGGCATCAAAGTTGGAGGTGAGGATACAGTTGAGCAAAAATCAACACTACGGAAATGTTATGGTGAGAAGAGGGCCAAAAGCTGGGAAGTTGATGTTTCGAAGTCCAGTGTACGTTAATTGAGGGATAGTTTTTCTTTCTCCAAGATGGGCACAGGAGTCAAGTTTTGTGGGAAAGGTGATGAAGATGGAGGTATTTCAGAATTGGCCTTATCTTTGAGTGTCATGAAAATATCAGACAAATGTTTTTAGTATCTATCTATCAGCATGACAAATAGTAATTTCTAGCCCTAAGTATGATATTTTGACATTTCAAGTTGTAATTCTGATGTCTCCGTCGGAATCTTGATTGAAATTCTTGATATGATTTATAAGAAAGTCTTGCACTAAGTTAATTCAGAAGAAAGTTGATAATCAACTTTATTCTGCTCTATTGTAAATTGCTACAAAAAAGTTTGTGAAGCAAACTGATTTGTTGAAACACAAATAAGTGCATTCCAATGACAAGATATTTGAGCCACATGCAACCTAACATTAGACCAGATAAATGCTACAGTTCTATATAACCATCACTGAGAAATGAAAAATCCAACAGTCAGTGACCAATTGACTAGGTTTCTAAAGATGGGATCATTTTCAAGTTTGTGGAGATTAATCTAGTCAAAGAATATAAATAAATATAAAATTTTGATTAATAAACTATCAAAGAACACTGGAAAGAAGTTTGCAGTCCTTGTTCTTCAACTGGAAACGTAGAAAACCAAGACTTCCATCCATTTAATACCAAGACCATGGAATTTATCTCAAAGCACATACTGGATCATAATAATGGGAGGCCAGGTCTGTATGGATGCAACAGAAGTGTTCTCCCTGACTTCATTTCAAACGTTGGAGCAGGATCATGTCATTCTAATATCCAAGTGAATGTTACCTTTTCCAAAATATTTTTCTTCATTTCTAAGGTAATTGAATGAATGGAATTTAGTACCAATGTCAGGGTAAAGTTTTATGCAATCTCAAGGCTGATTATTAGACTGCCAGCTATTAGCTAGTGAGGTTTTCACTGAACTTACTTAAGGCCTATATTTTGGGGTAGGGTGAGGACTCCCTAGACAGACCACTAAAGCAGACAGAGCATGAGGTAGGCAGACAAAAACTCACTCAGTTTCTATCGCAAATTGTGCCTCTTCCCATTAGAAATTGACCTGGAATATATCTCCCTAACCTACACCTACAAGTGGTTTGTCAATGGTATAGATTTTTCTGCTTACCTGTGCCAGTTAGTTAGTGTCATCATAACGTACATGGAAGCCAGAAAAAGTATAAAGTGGAAAAAAGAATAGCTGTAATGAACACCTTCTTTTTCATTATCCTGAAAGCGATGCACCTCTTCACAACCTTCCTGTATTGATACGCTTTCCAAAGATCCAGTGTCTGGATTATTGATGGAATGACTAAGCCTCTGTGTGCAGCTGGATTTCCTAATGCTAACAAAATGTAACATCAATATTATTAGTTTAAGATTCAAATGCACTCAGTTTTAATAAACGGAGTCTAAAATATAGCAATAGGAGCTTAGAAATGTTGGAAAGTATAAATTGGAAAAGGATGCAAGTTGCCTTACAGGTCCCATATATTTGTATCCTTAATTCCTATTTATATCTCTCCAGTGTTCGTTCAACATGTAGGAGCAAATTACTGCAGATGCTGGAATCTGTACTGAAAACAAAACATGCTGGAAATCACAGCGGGTCAGGCAGCATCCATGGAGAGAGAGCAAGCTAATGTTTCGAATCTGGATGACTCTTCATCAGAGCTCTGTGATTTCCAGCGTTTTTTGTTTTCATTTAACATGTGTCCACAATGTCTCCGCAGTTGGGAAATCTGCTACTCACATTCACTATTTATTTGCTCAAAACACTTAAAACCACAACAGCCTACTCACATTTTCTCTTCTAAGTGACGGCCTGTATATTCTAGTCCTATTATTAGTGGCAATCTTAAACATATAGTTGGGGTTCAATGTGTCTACTCCTGAATGCTTGAATACCATTTCGCTGAGTTCCCTCTTCAGCAACATAACTAAAATGTCAATCTCTTCAAGCTCTATTTCCATGCAGGCTCTCATGTCAGGAGATCCTGGCTATAACATGGCAACCAGAATTGTACATAAAAGTGGAGAGGTAGTCTGCATTCCTGATGTATTTCAAGGGTCTTGTCATCTCTTGAATTATTTTCTAGATTTTGGTCTGGAGAGTGCTACCATCGATTACCTCTCAAGTGAGGTAAGTCCAAAATAAAAATTAAAGACTCATCTGATGCTGACCAAATTAGCAATTATATGTCTGAAATAGATGGATTTTCATTAGCTAAGGGTCTTAATGAAAATTAAGTCAAAGTGGGTGGAAAGGGTTAGCATGCAGGTGAGCTAGGATCTTATTGAATAGTGGGAACAGTTTTAAAGGCTGAATGCTGAATTAGTCACACCTTTTTGCTTGTGTTGAACAACAGAAAGGAACTAGGAACAATGCACATACAGAGTGATTTAGGGGTCCATGTACAGATATCACTAAAAGCTAGTGGCAAGTACCAAAAATAATTTGACAGCGGCCTTAAATACAAAAAAGCACACGTTATAGCTGAATAAAGCTACGAACGGACTGCATCAGGGGTGCTGTGTTCAATTGGGTCCATGCATTAGCTTTGATTGGGTGTAACACAGATTCACCACAATGATACAAGTACTGAAAGCATTAAATTATCAGCGTAAGTTGCATAGACTAGGCTTGCATTTTCTTAAATTTAAAAGACTAATGATTATCTAATCAATGTGTTTCAAGATAGTTAAAGTATTGTGTAGGCTAGATGGGAAAAGCCTTTTTTTGTTGGGGAGCTCAGGAAGATATTTCCTTCACAAACTTGGACCGAGAGTTAGGTCATTTTGATGTGATTACAGGAAATACTTCTTCACACAAAGGTTGATAATAACTTGGAACTCTCTCCCTCGGGGTGCCATTAAAGCTAAGTTTCAGAACTGACACTGATACATTTTCATTAGGTTAAGATATTACAGGACATGGAGCCAAGGTGTGTAAATGGAATTGAGATACAGATCAACCAGGATCTAATTGATTGTTGGAACAGCCCTGAAGAGCTGAATGACTTATCCTGCTCCTTTGTTCTTCCCAAAGTCAACTTGACACCTTGACAATGCTAGTTAACTGCTGCCTTAAAATGGACATAATTGTGGTGACATAAAAGCACAGTATAATTCAGCTATGTGCATGGATGAAGTAAAGTGGTAACAAAATACTTATCAAGCTGATATTTGTGATTACCTCAAATATAAGATGCAAATAATGAACAATGCCATGCCAACGATGCATTGGCTATCCCAGTTCAACCCTGCATCTGAATCATTGATTGTGTTCAGGGTGTTGTTCAAATCAGGGCTGGGAAATGTCCGCTCAAAAAAGCTCATTGTACGAGGATTACACGTGTCATCTGAAAGCACAATACGAATTAAAAAGGCTTGCTTTTGCCATGTAGTAAAATACAAATTTAATCTTCATCAAAAATAAATTATTTCATATTTGTTAATGATTTCATAATGAATGCATTCTGTCCGGAAGCATTTTTTGTTACAGAGTTTATGATAATTCTAATTGTGCAGCAATTAATCACTCTTCCAGTTTCGATGCCAAGGTCACAGCCAAAGGGGTCAGAATACATTTGTAAAGTGCTTAATTACAAATAATAACTTCTTACAGAGATTTTTTTTACTGTAATTATGTCCCTTGGAAAATGATTTGCTTATTATTATTCATTAGGACATTACTCCTGACTAATCCAGAGTATCAATCAAAAAAGGTAATTTCTTCCTGACATGCTAACCAAATTGCCACTGTTGTGTGTAACTAGTTTCTAAAAAGGTCAGTGCAGTCATATAATTGCGACAAAAATGAAACAACAATTTCATCTTTTTTAGTCTGATAGATAGTCCTTCAATTTCAGTCACAATATATAAATCGTAGTGATGGGAGACAGCCTGGTGATGCCTCTTTTCAGATAGACCCATCACATCTTATGTCAACCAGATATCTAACAGGCCAGCAATGTCACTGGCATCAGACACCATGGGTGCAAGTCCCTCTTGCCAAGAGGTGCCAGTCAACTAGGGACCAGCAGTTCTACTGAACAGCAACGCCTCTGGGGTAGTAATGGCTGGTGCCAATACAACATCACTCAAGGCTGAGGGTCACAGATGGAGCCAGACCATAAGTGAGTGATGATGGGAAGGGTGTCAAGAGGATTGTGGTGGAAATGAGATGACAAGTGAGCAGCAAGGGCTGAGATGGTTTCTATAGGCATTCCCTTTCGCAATGCCTTGTCAAAGGGATTTGATCAGACTATTCAATCAGGCATTCAAAGCCTTCAAATGAAAGAGCTCCACACACCCAGGATCCCACAGTGCAACTTGACACAGATAGCTTGCTGTTTTCCCCACATAGTGAGCTGCTTTGCCCACCAGGGTGTTAAAGTGGCAGGACAGAGCTGTGCAGGAACTTACCAGTCACAGGCTAAATCAGACAGATGGCTTGAAGGTGATGGTGTCCCCACATGCCATCATCCTGCCAAATTTAATGTCCTTGAAATGTTTCACAGGACAGAGCACACTATCCGACTCAAAAACCATCTCAAATCAATATAGGCACTGCAATGTTTGTTGTAAAAATTATAGGGAGAGAATCCAAACCATTTAAAGCAATCATTTACATGATGTGTGAGTGTTATTGTTATGTGTATGATAATACTTTTTAATCTGAATTTGCATTATTTAACTTCAACCAGTCTTAGCAAACATTCAAAGGGTATCTAAGAGATTGGTACAGTTCATTAAGCTGAGTTAAGAGACAAATTGCATTGATTCTTGTTCATTTCAGCAACTTGAAACTTCCCTGGAAAGATCAAGTAGACTTGCTCATTCCCATGATTAGAAATGATTACCAAGTGAAAAAGGACTCCATGTAAAAAGATATCTGCAAAAGATTGTAGCCATTTATTGTTTACGTTTTCAGATGTTTGATCACATGAATAAGCACAAGGTTGCTGTTATACGTTAATTTGTTTACAATATATCAGTAAATTTATTTAGTTGTGTAAAGCCAAAAATGGAGTTGATGTATTGCTCTAATTCCATCAAAAGCTAAGCACATGTGGGAGATCGGTGGCGTGGTCGTCTCTGCATGGAGCCTGCTAATTCAAACTCCCGGGCTAATGTTCTGGGCCTGTGATTTCAAATCCCACCATAGTAGATGGTGAAGTTTAAATTCAATTTTTTAAAACCTGGAATTAAAAGTGTAGCAATTCTGCCAGATTATTTTTCACCTTATCAACAGTTTCCTCATCTAAACCATGGATCCCATCTAGTATCTACGTCCTTTAGTTCACCGCCAGTTTGATCTGCAGTGGACATGTGGCCTTTATTGATCATCATGAAAACCCATTTGTCCTTTGACTAATGCTCTTTAAGGAAGGAAGTGTGTTGACTCATTAAATGCTGTCTGAAGTAGCCAAATATCAGTATTAAAACCACTACAAGATCTAAAACAAGAAATGAAACCAGACAGATCCCCTGGCATTGACTTCAACATCAGAAATTAAAATGGCAAACCCAGCCCTGTTAACATGCAAAATTCTCCTTACTAACATCTGGGGGCTTTTGCTGGAGTTCAAAAAGCTGTTATCACTAACTAGTCAACCAACAGCATGGCATAGTTATACTCATGGAATCATACCTTGTATACAATGTCACAGAGACACAACTATCACCAACTTTGCCCCTCAGGCAGGACAAACTGACTAGAGGTAGCAGCACAGTGGTGTACAGTAAGGAAAGATTTGCCTTGGGAGTCCTCAACATTGACTCTGGACCTTATGAAGCCTCATGGCATCAGGCCAGATGTGGAAGAGGGAACTTCTTGCTGAGTGCACCTTCAACTCCTCACGGTTCACCAGATGACATTTTGGTAATATTATAATACTTTAAAAAACTTTTAAAGATTGTGGATATCTAAGATCTTAAATGAAAACAGAAAGTGCTAGAGAAACTCAGCAGGTCTGGTAACATCTGTGGAGGGAAAGCAAAGCTATAGTTTTGAGCTCGGTGACCCTTCTACAGGACTGATAGTAATATTAGTTAGACAAAAGTGGTATATGCGATGAAGAAGGCAGGGAGTTGATAAGGAGTGAGCAGATGGGGAGAAATGGAGCCCAGAGGGAGAAAAACATCAATTAGATAAAGGAATTGGTGACAGAATGCTGGGGAGAAAATAAAACTGATAATGAGCACCATAAGGAGGTGACAATATGCTGAAAGCAACCCATGTCATGGAAGGCACAAGGACATAAAATGTTCAGGTTCTGAAACTATTAAACTCAACATTGAGTTCTGAAGGCTGCAAGTCGCCAAACCTCTCCTTTTATCTAACTTTATTCAAAAGTCTTTCTCTCATACTTTGTTACATTATATCTTCTTGGAGTTCCTTTCCATTGTGTTACTTTCCTTTAGTCGTTCTCTGTTTCCTACTGCCTTTAAGAGTTTGATTTCATTATTTAGGTTCCAGTCTACAATTTACTATTTGCATAATTTTACCATTCTTTGTAAACAATATTGCTGGTACAATAGTCTCTACTAAAATCTAAAGTTCCTCCAGCAATTGCTGTTTTTTAATAAAAATGTTACTTTGGATGGAGGGACTGTGTGCTGGAAGTAAGCAGCCCATGATTTAATGTCAGTGATACCTTTGGAAATCTAACCACTCCAACTAAAGACTTCTGTGAACTGTTTGCATCTGAACATGTATTCAACCAGAGAAAGAATACCATAAATGGGTGAATCATTTTCAGGTTCATTGTTGATTCATTTATTTGGCTGATGCTCAAGCTGTAGAAGTATTTGGTGATGTCTACTGTAATTTATAGTTTGTCAAGGTTATAGGGAGGGATGTGGCATGCATTGGTCCAAAAATCAAATTCAAAACTTCACAGATTCCTCTTCCACAGCTGAAAAGTTGCCACAGAACCTGCCCCTGCTACACCAGGCAGGCCCACAGCTGTTTAACTCACAGAGGAGCATTAAATCATTTGAAACAGCCCTTCCTACCCCCATCTGCAGAGAAAGTCTATTCTCAGAGCTGCTACTCAAACCAGGAGTGCTGGCCAATGCTGGGACTGTATCCAGTCTGAACAGGAAGAGCCAGAAGCTGGATGAGCCAAATAAGTTGGAGTGTTCTCACCAGGGTCAGAATAGGAGCACACAAGGACTTGGAGGCTGGCGGTGGTGTGGGGGTTGGAGTGCATGTGCAGAGCAGAGGGTGAACACTGGGTTTGGAGGTCAAATCTTGAGGCCCATCAAGGTGGCACCTCCCACATTTATGCTAACCAGCTGAGCTTGCTTCCCACTAGCTAACAAATTCTGGCTGGGTGGCATGGCCCTTAAGTGTCATTAACTGGCCACTTAAGGGTCTCAGTTAGGAGCAGGCAGGCAGATGGTGGAAAGGCATCCATGGAATTTTATGGGCCACTACCTCCATCTGCAGACCTGACAGAAGACCATAAAATTCTCTCCCAAGAGTTCTGCTCAGACACTTCCTTACATATTATGGTGCAATCATTTCTATCCAATTTGGTTTGTGGAATGTCAGACAGAATGAGGAGGAGGCAATGGCCTAGTGGTATTATCGTTGGACTATTATTCCAGAGACCCAGGTAATGTTCTGGGGAATTTGAGTTCAATAAAAATCTGGAATAACAAGTCTAATGATGACCATGAGTCAATTGTCGAAAAAAACCCATCTGGTTCACCAATGTCCTTTAGGGAAGGAAACTGCCATCCTTACCCAGTCTGGACTAGATGTGACTCCAGATCCACAGCAATGTGGTTGACTCTTAACTGCCCTCTGGGCAATTAAGGATAGGCAAAAGATGCTGGCCTAGCCAGCAACACCCCCAACCCATGAATGAATAAAAACAAAAGAATGAATCAAGCAACATCAAACAAGAGGGATGAGGAACACAAGGTGAAGTGCTCACTGCTATTTCCAATCAGGGACTTTAGGAATCATTTCTTCCACCTTGACCTCAATGAGAAACAATGCTGCAAACTTTTCCACTTTACCACAAAGATGCTCATTAAAATCTTACACCTATTGAAGTACAAGCAACATTCTCAAAGTAGGGCATCTATGTTGATGACATAATGTTTAATCTGGGGCTTAACTGCATATGAAAACAAGTTTTGGTCAATTTCTGATTGAAGTCTGGCTTTCACCTTTTTATATACTATTGCATATACTTAGTTCATAGATCATGTTAATGTTCTGTGTTATTCAGCGGATGAGGGGATCCCAGAAATTGCTGTCAGTTTTAGTGGTGCAATGATTTGTAAATGGTTTCAGAGATAGTAGGAACTGCAGATGCTGGAGAATCTGAGATAACAAGGTGTAGAGCTGGATGAACACAGCAGGCCAAGCAGCATCAGAGGAGAGGAAAGCTGACGTTTCGGGCCTAGACATTTCTGAAGAAGGGTCTAGGCCCAAAACGTCAGCTTTCCTGCTCCTCTGATGCTGCTTGGCCTGATTTGTAAATGGTGATAGTTTCACTGTTGTTTCTACCACAAAATCCAGACTAAAATAAATCATTAACTGGTGACCCTGATGAATGATCTTCAACTCCATTGTTCTCTCTTTCAATGATGCCTAATCTGCTGAATATATCCAATATTTTCTGTTTTATTCAATTTGGTAATATTTTATTTGCTGGTCAAAATGAGAAAGGAGTATATATCTGAAAGAGGAGGATCATCCACTTACCTGGCTCATTTGTCATTGCTGACCAGGTGAGGTACATAATATACAGAGTAATTATGGAGGATTGGAGGCCAGTACAAAGCTGAAATTCCTGGAATTGATTAAAATGCAGTACAGTTTCTTAGATGTTAGCGAACAAGTAAAATGCTTTTTTTAAGAAGTGTATCTAATAACTTAGTCAGAAGTCACACGATACCAGGTTATAGTCCAACAAGTTTATTTGAAATCACAAGTTTTTGAATCCTTTGTCAGGAGCAGTGACTTCACTTGATGAAGGTGCAGCGCTCCGAAAGCTTGTGACTTGAAATAAACCTGATGGACTATAATCGCGTGTGACTTCTGACTTTGTCAACTCCAAGCCAACACCAGCACCACCACATCTAATAACTTAGGAAGCATTCTTTATCATGAGGGCTTTTTTTTTCTGATTAACTTGTTAAACTTACAGGGTCAGGTAAAAGATATAAATTAAGTTTCAAATTGGATACAATTGTTGTGGCTCCAAACAATAATAAACATGTAATAATAAAATGAATTAATGCAAATAAATGTTTCCAAATATCACCAAAATATTTTAAAACAGTGCTCACAGCAACATTCAAAATTTCCCATAAAGATAAAATTTACTGAAAATCACTTAGTTGTGCTAATAATCACAAAATAAATTTACAGAAGTTTAATCAAGGTTTGTGTTGTTCCCATCATAAGTCAAAGAATAATCTGCTTTAAACTGGTAGGAGCACAGTGCTGTTCAGGCTTTACTATATTGCAGTGATTTATAATATTCCTAAAGCCAAGAAATGTTGCCTCTACCCCAGTAATTTTCGTTGCTTCATTGTCACTTTCTTTCTGTTGATGTACCAGCCTTTCTGTAGGGCTGCCATAGTTTTGTCAATGTACTGTCTTTATCATAACATCCAACTCATTCCTTCTTATCATTGGATCTGCCATTTTGTTTCTGGGATCACTCCACCCTTCTGATCTCTATGGCATTGTGCCAGTTGTCTCATGCTGTATTTCCAGGTGTTCCATTCATGATGAACATTTAAATACATCATGAATTGAACATCTAGAATTGTACCACTGAAAAATTGGAATCAAAGGGCCAGATTTTCATCATGGAAGTGGAAGGTTTGAGTTGGGAAATCTGCCAGCTCAGCAGACCTGGTACCTCCATGCTACCCACATAGTCTCTCATCCTGTATTACTATGGGCAGACCTCAGGAGCCATATAGAGATTGAAAGAAAGTAAAAAGTTTCCAATAAGCTCAGGGAGCTGTTACTTCTAGACAGTTGATGCTGAAAAACCTTTCATTCATGAAGCCATTCCAATGATATTAAACACCCTCAAATAGTCAACTCCTTATAAAAACAATTAATCTTCAATAACCATGTTAAAGACAGCTAATCCTTTAGCAGACTTAAAACTGTCAATCAAATGTGAACTTAACCAGTCCTCACCAAATAAGATGTGATTTTAGAGCCTTTGTAATTTAGGCAAACATTCATCACGAGCCCAACTGGGAAATGTCAACAGTGAAATTAATTGAAACTGCAGGAATAGGTGGTAAAAAAATTTCCACGACAGATCAGGTTTTTTTGCTTTTAAAGGACTGGAGACTAAAATGACTTCAAATAATAATAGTTGAACAGACTTGATCCATTTCTTTATGAATGTTTATACCTTTTCCATAAATTTGTGTTTCCACACTGTGCGTGAAATCCTTTGAATACTAAAAACGTCTGTTAAAATTTAGCACTGATCTCAAATAGCCTTGCTGAATTTGGATTCATTACCTATGATTCATGTATCAGCCCCTACTTCCTGCCAGCAAAAGCAGAATGAGAAAATGGGAGCAAGATGTCACATCTGGTCCTGGAAAACATTTCTAAAGTCCTCCAAAGTCTACCTGACTCCACAAAACTCTGACCAATAATCTTAAAGGTGGAGAGTGCAAAGTGATAATTTGGAAGTGGAAGTTTGTTGGAGTTTCTATACCGTGAATGTTTGAAACTGGGTCAAAACAAGAAACAATAGTCAAAAGGAAGCAAGGATTTGGAATGTGGGAGAGAATTGACGAAGAACAGAATGATTTTGTTGGGGGCAGTGGGGTGGGAAGTCGCTAGGGTAACTGGTATAAAGGCAGAATGTAGGGACTACCAGAAATGATGGCTCTAAGAGTAGCCAATAGGCACATGGTCTGGATTGATAAATTTCATGTACCATTTCAAATGTTTTTTATGGTGTATCTATCTTTCTGTTCTTCTCATATTTAACTGGTGCATTGCATACATCTTCAAATGAATTTCACAGTGTCAGTGAACAAAGTTTGAGAAAATTTGTAGAAATAGGTTTGCCTTTGATCTTGGTCCTCAAATTGCACAGACAATACGTGGGAATGTTAAGCCACATAGAGGGGCCTAGTGAGCAGTTAAAACAGGTTGGACGTACTGTTTAGGAGCATATTACTGCAGATGTTGGAATCTGTGCTGAAAACAAAAAGTGCTGGAAATCACAGCGGGTCAGGCAGCATCCATGGAGAGAGAAATTAACTTGAAGCTAACGTTTCAAGTCTGGATGGTTCGACATTAGAGCTGGAGAAACTGACTGTCCTTCCCCAACCCCTTCCCCTTTCACAGCCCCATCCATTAATGCACATGTGCACATTCACAAGGAATAGCACTAAGCTCCCTTTGCATCAACAAGTACAGCTTTCGTCACATTGGCAGCCAGACCAGCGACAAAGACATGCTTGTGGACACTTTCTAATAAATCTCACTCACCAGCACATGCACAAACATCTCCCTCGACCAGATTGTGCATGCTCCTCAGTGTCAGCAACACAGCCTATAGGTAACATCACCACAAACCTTCCATGCATGATTATATCAAATAGGTCTCTTTCCGGTGGATGCCAACAATCAGACATTGAATTGTGTGATTTATAGTCCTGACAGGAGGGAGGAAGTTTTTTTTAAACTTTCCCAAAGAGACAGGAATCTGTTCAGGTATCTGCTTAGGAGGTAGTTAGACAACAGCGTTGTAAGTGGACTATACGCAGGAAGTGGAGCAGGTATTGCTCCTGAATTGTTTACTGAACTATATAGATTATATATAGAACAGGGAGATATTCCAGCATAAATGTATTGGTATAAGTCTATCCCCACACTGACTGACACATGTACTGATATCACTTCCTAGAATATCATAAGATGTCTTCACATTAATAGCCTCCGCCTTATTCAACACCTCCCCTCTAGCATTCATTCTGACCCTGAATTTTTACCCTTCTTCATCAGAAATATGTCTATATTTTCACATCATTAACTCATCCACCTTTCTACTCTAGTAAGTCTATAATTGTTTATGACTAACTTGTTTTTATTTCTGAGATAGTAGGAACTGCAGATGCTGGAGAATCTGAGATAA